GACACTGAGATCGACAATTAATAAATGGGACCTCCTGAAACTGAGAAGCTTCTGTAAGACAAAGGACACAGTCAACAAGACAAAAAGGCAGCCCACAGAATGGGAAAAGACATTCACTAACGCCATATGTGACAGAGGGCTGAGGGGAGGAAGAGGGAGCTGGGATTGACATGTGAAGCAAGCTTGTTTCTAATTTAAGTAAAAATAATAAATAAATAAATAAATAAATAAATAAGAGAAGTGGAGGGTGCCCTCACTCACTGGAAGAGGCTAAGGGACTTTTATGACTCCTTTTGATGACTACTATCAGATGCAAATGTCCCAGAGAGAAATGTATTTTTTCAAACGATGAATGGGTGAGGGTCTGGGGGACACATGGATGGTTGCTGGGAAAGTGAAGGGTGATCTTTCTTTTCATTGTCCTTCAAAACCTATAAATATCACTGAGACAAAACCCTAAGCACAATAGGATACCAGCTCTTTCCACATCCACTCTTCCTGCGGGGATGAGTGAATAAATGGAATTGAGGCTTCCAAATGAAACAATGGTTGTGACAGGGAACTGTGCAGGTCATGAGGGGGGAAGTGGCTGAAATAGGGTATGGCGGCAGCAGAGATAAGGAGCGCTGGAAGAAAGGCAAGAGGAGACATTCTGAAGCCCCACTTTTTCTAGCAATGCCACCAGAGGTGACCGGAGTCAGAGATGTCTGGAGAGCAGGCGTCATTCCCAAGCTCCTGGAAATCTGAGGACAGTATGGACATCTTGGCTAGAAATGCCCCCTTCTTCAGGCCCTGAATTAATGTTGTGCTAAAGATCTCCTTTTCATACAGTGACCTCGCCTCTCTGCAACGTGGACCAATACGGAACCCTAGAGTTAGAAGGTGGTTTCTTTGGGATTCCAGGGAGGTGTTTATGAGGCACCCAGCAGGTCTAACAGATGAGAGTTAAGGGGGACATGGCATATAGCCCTGGGAATTGAGAGGTCTCAGAGTGGAGGAAGGTCAAAGTGTCAGTGACACCTACCAGAGGACAGATGAGGAGCTGGGAACCAGAGCAGGAGACAACACCAAACATGTAGTGATTTCCCCAACGGATGGGTGTGGCTCTGATTTACCATGTCCACTGTAGTCCTTCTAAGTCTTTTTCTTTTTTTCCTTCTGTTTTCCTCTCTGTACTCACGTATCTTAACTTGAACCCCGACAGCGCAACACTATGGCAATGCAGAGAGACGGATTTGGATATTTCTCATGAAGTCCAGAGGAAGGCATGGAGCCAGGAAGCCCTTCCCGATGCTGTGTGGTCCACCTTGATGACCCTCTCCCAGCTCTTATAGATCATGCTTTCCAGGACAGGTTCAAGTCTCACCCCTAGAAATCTGGTTTTCTCAACTCTAGAGTGACTTTCGTGTAACCTTGTTGTCAGACCCATGGACTAGTTAAGTGTTCCCTGGTAGCAGTCTTGGTGGTCATTGGTCCCCCTGAGGGGTCTGTTGTTCATCTGCATTCAGCTCTGCTGCTACAAGAGTTACAAAAAACCCTTCTCTGCTGCCGCCTGCCAAGCTAGGCATGACTCCCTCTACTCCATCCCTGCCCCACTGTGGTTTCCTCTGGTCTTTCATTGCTAGCTATCCCTATCCCTCACCCCTAGACATTGCCTTCTGCATTTACCGTCTCTTAACTAGTGGAGCGCTGTACCAAGAGAGAAGATTCCACTGGGGGCGGGCAAGGTGCTTGGTTCAGTGGGTAAAAAGCGCTTGCTTTGCTGACAACCTGGGTTCGAGCTCCAGAATGCACGTGGAGATGGAGATACAAAATCCGAGTCCACAGAGCGGTCCTGGGACCTCTACACACGCCACGGCAGGTGCCCCCCCCCACATGTGCACCCCACCCCCACATGCCCCATCCCCACACAGACAGTCGTAATTGTTTAATTTTTTTAAAAGAACGTATCACTGCACGTTAGGATTATGCATGTTCTCTTTGGTATATTCCACTGTTAATGGGATTGGATCTGGTTCCTGCTGATTAGGACAGGGATGGGGAGAGACGCCGCTACTCTGTGAGACACACGCCAGCTGTGCTCTGTGGTTTTTATAGTTTCTGCAAGGTCATGCCATGGAATGAATGTGCTTTTTGTGTGTGGGGGGGGTAGAAATAGCTGTTTTCCTAGGTTCTTTCCTTATTGGTGACAGTGCTGTCTCTACAATCATCTCAGCATCTGTGACGAACAGGCTCTAAAGATTAAAGATTACCACACTGGGCGTGGAGGAGTCCCCCCCCCCATACTGGTCTGCCGTGGACAAGAGGAAGGTAAAGAGGTGCAGAATTTGGATACACAGTTTTGTAGATTGTGGACCCTAATTTCTACATACCAAACAAAACAGTCATTAAGATAAATGCTGAGAGAGAGCAGGGATAGAGGGAGGGAGGGAAGCAGGGAGGGAGGGAGAGAGGGTGTGCTTCTCAACTTCTCATTTGGAATTCTAAAAGCAAAGCACAGTATAAGGGTCTCCTACCCTGACATGGGGGTGACGGCATCATTGTCAGGGGAACAGCGTGAAATGGGTGCGCCGGCAGCAGACTGGGTGAAGAAGTCTAAATCGTGCTTTGATTGTGCACACCTTACAAGAGATGTAGAGGTAGTTTCAGTCCCATGGAGGAGGCAGGCAGCTGAGTAGAGTCAGTAGATCTGCCTTTGTTTCTCAGTGGAGATACACAGGGTGACCTCACTGTTAAGGATACAGAGCAGACCCTATGTAGGGATTTGATGCTGGTTTGGTGGAGCTGCCGAGAGCTATGACTCTCTAGAAGGTACCCAGAGGCAGAAAATCATCCAGGGAAGTCATTTGGGTTCTAACCCAGCTAAATGACGAAATCACAAGTTCTCCAGCTCCAGAAGTCTCTAGATCCAGGGGATTGAAGGACACCACTGAAGTGCAAATCCCTTCCTTCTTTGCCATCGAGGGGAGAGATGGAAGAAGGGGAAACTCTAACAAGGAATTATCACCAAAAAAAAAAAAAACCAAGAGCTTGTACAAATGAGGCTATCTGAAGTCTGGTGACCCTAATGTTTATCTTCTGTCTAGTAGAGGAACAAGATAAACTATTTCATGTCAGTTCATATGCCTGCAACACTCCCACGTACATGTGCTCATCCTTTTCACATAGCATATTGATATCTTAAGTGTATATTAATGAATTCTCCCAATTCAGTGCCACATTTGAGCACTTGCTAGCAACAATATTATCCTGGTAGTGCCTCCTGAAAGTCCTAGATATAATTGTCTTCTCTAGTCTCGGGAAGGAGTCTCCAGATGGGCATGCCCGCCATCCTCAAGCTACTTCCTACATATCGATTTGCTGAAGAGTATATCTGGCCAGATCACGCTTGCTTCCCCTCTCTACAATGAAGAAACGTCTTCCCACTTATGGAGGACTGGATCGACCCAATCCAGACTCTTCATAAGCTGGCTGCACTTCCAAATCTGCCTTGCTACTGTGTACCTCCTTCTGGTCCACAGCACAACGATTAGTCACCTTCTGGATACACTTCAGTCTATCCCTCTCACGGCCGTGCCCATCTAAATCAGTCTCTCTCCCCCTGAGCTCTCTTTCCCTCCTCCTGTTGTGTAGTCAGTATTTGGAGACAGGACAGGGTCTGTGCCAACATGTGCATGGCTGACCAACTTCCTTTCTCAATGGCAGTTTTTGGAAAGCAAGATCCATTGTTAATCAGTTTTCATTTTTTTTGTTCTGCCCCGCAGAATGGGCCACACGCATCATATTTAATATATGGGTGCGTATGAAGTCAGTTGTGAGCAGCAGAGTGCAGTGTAAGTGGTAATCATTTTATTGTTCTCTTTAGCACATTGAGTTGAATTTGCTTTTTGACATCTTATCATTGCCTGGATGAAATGGTATCCTTTAACTGATGCAGTGGCCAAAGACCCTAGAGACAGACAGATCCTCTGGGGAGATGGTAGGGGGAGCCTGTTTCTTGCCTTTGTGAGTGTGTCCCCAAGGTCCAGCCTTGTCTACTGCTACTTACACTCTTTGACTTCTACGCATTTCAGAGGAAAAATCACAGGCACTGTTGGAAAGTCCTCCGTCAGGGAAGATCAAAGGAACAGGCTGTAATAAGTAAGAAACAGCAAGCTCCAGGAGCTGGCCCCGAGTCCTCCAGTGCTGGCCTTACATGTCAGGCCAGGCACCTCTCCACTGGTCCTTGAACAGTAGGCCTGCTATGAGTCTAACATGCCTGGTATTTCCTGATACAAGGATTATTTCCATCTCTAGGAATTCCACAAATGTGCCTAGAAGCCGTTTGCATATTTAACTTTTAAAAATAGCCCTTCATAGCACAATGTAGATAGCCTAGAAACCCATGTGTCAGCTGTTTCCCGTGAAAATACATGCAAGTGCTGCTGTCACTTAGATAACCCAGGGAACTGAACACACACACACACACACACATGCACACGCACACACGCACATGCACATACACACGTTAAAATGCCTTCAAGAAATAGCCATATGGGAATTGGCTCATGCATGCTAAAAAATAAAAGAGCCTTGGGAAGTTTGCTTAACCCAAATGGGGGTAGGAAGGGAGGAACTCAAAAAGGTAGGCAGGAAGGAAGGAATTCAGAAATGGAGAAGGGTCAAGGAAGGGGGGGAAGAGGAAAGGAGGCAGAGAGAACAGAGGGAGGGAGAGTGGACTTATAGATAGTGGCAGATGGGAGACAGTGAGAGAAAAGGAAAAAAAGGAAAGAAGGAGAAAAAACAAGGTCCTATAAATTGGTATCCGTCATTCGAGCAAGAATGCTGAGATTTGATTTTTGATACAACAAAGTTAAAAGTCTGTGTCTCCATCACTTGAAAGTGTCAGAATGAACAAGGAGTCAGCCTCAAAGGGACTGGGGTGGTAAAATAGGCTGTCTCTACTCCAGATGTTGTGGAGTGTCAGCTCTCCTGGAGCAGTGCGAGCATGCAGCACCTACCTACTACACTGACAGTGGCCGCTGCCTTTGCCGTACTGAATTTCTCTCCATGCTTATTGGTAGCTATGCATGTGTAGAGTCCTGGCTTGGTGATAAAGAGCTGGAGTCTCGAATCAATCACCCGGTCTTTCACACTCTCTTGAATGGACCCTGAGGAAACCTGATGGGTATGGGAAAAATAAAAGGTAGAACTAGATTACCCTTTCTTAATATACCACATTGGTAGTCTTGAAGGATAAAGCATTTCAGTTATGATCAGCAGGCATTAGGAGAGAATGGCCAACACAGATACGTTCCTTGTCCCTAAAGGAACAGGGTTCCAGGTGCTTAAGCCAGGCCCAGTGTCTCTTTCTCTTCCTGCTGCCTGCCAATCCAGATGCAGAACTCTTGCCGCCTTCTCCAGAATCATGTCTGCCTGAACTCCACCATGCTTTCCACAATGATAGTAATGCACTAAGTCTCTGAACAAGGAAGCAAGCCCTAATTAAATAGTTTCCGTTAGAAGAGTCACTGTGGTCATGGTGTCTCTTCACAGCAATAGAAACCTTAGGACACTGGAGGATGAAATGCATATGGTCCAAACCACCAAACATGAGGAAAGCTATTCTGGACTAATGAGAACACACCCCAGCTGCCAGTCATAATAGTCAGACTAGTCTAGTGTTTGGCATTCCTGGCTCAAATCAGTGAAGCCATCCAGTTGAACCCCAGACTTGTGACCACTATCAGTTACTGTTTTAATCTACTTGGCGTTGAGCTGGTTTGTGAGATAGCAACAGATAACTAATATGAGCTCTGATGGTACTCTTTGTAGGTGTTCTAAGATTTATCCTGTTCTTCAACTAGGAGCAGACAAGTTAAGAGGTTTTAGACTTCATAACATCTGACCACTTCTCTATAAATGGACATCAGATTGATAGATGTATAGTATGAAAAGTTGTTTGTGGGGCCAAGACACTCATACAAATAATGCTGGACCCTTAAACCAGAAGTCAAATCTCCATGAAGATCCAGAATATCAATATATTAGCATGTAATTTACAAGATTAATTATACAAATGCTTATTCACTAATAATCATCCCAACTATATACTTAAGACTGGCCACATTTTCTTTTTTTTAATTTAAATTCTATTTCATTTATTTATTTTGCAAAAGTGTGAGGGCACACTCATGCCATGGCATGGGTGAGAGGGTGGGAGTTATCTCTCTCTTTCCATGATATAGCTCTCAAGGATTGAACTCAGGTCATTGAACTCAAGAATTTAACTGGCAAGCACATTTCCCTACCGAACCATCATACCATTGGCCCAAGGCTGTCCACATTTTCTAGTTAACTGACAGTTACAACCTTACTCCTGTTGGTCTGACACCAAAGCCAATGATTATTTAACCATTATGTTCCCTAGTGCTTGAAGAGAAGGCAAATGAGTTGTCATCAAGAAAACACAGTAGTTTGGATTTTGAGTGTTTTCAAAGCCTCATGCGTGAAAAGGGGTGGTTGGCAGTCTTGGTAAGGTTGAGGAGCTATAGAAGCTTTAGGAGGTAGAACCTAGAAGAATCTGCATCATCAAGAATGTGGCCTTGAAGGAGATGCTGGGCTCCGCCCCCTTTCCTCTCTACTTCACAGCTGAGAAGAGCAGCCTTGTCCACACACTCGGACATCTGAAACCATGAGTGGAGGAGATGCTGGGCTCTGCCCCCTTTCCTCTCTACTTCACAGCCTTGTCCACACACTCGGACATCTGAAACCATGAGCCAAAATAAGTCTGTCTTCCTTGTTAGGTTGTTTTTTCTCAGATATTTTTGTCACAGCAACAGAAAATGAACACTACAACCTTAACCAATCAACCAACAAATGTCCTTGTAAAGATGGTGGCTTATTTTGAAATGGCATTTTTTTCCTTCTGTTTTCTTAAGTGCTCTGACATATTTTCAATAATTATTCATTAGTCACCATGATTTAGGTGAGGGAGAAATGATACCAGTTTAAAGGAAATTCAAGTGATTAAGGAAAATTAAAGAATTAACCAACGCTATTTTGGAGGACTGGATGTTGAGACCATATCAATGTGAGCTTAGCTTCTCCTGGAATAAATTCCTTGGTACGGATGTGCCTAACAGTGGGAAATTTGAAGAGTTATCTCACTATTTCACATGCAAGTTTTCTCAGACTAGTGAGAGAGAGGAACACTCTAAGATGTGACCAGCTTTCTAATCTGTGTGTGTCTGTCTGCCTGTCTGTCTCTCTGTCTCTATCTCTGTCTCTGTCTCCTCCCCCATGTGTGTGTGTGTGTGTCTGTCTGTCTGTCTATCTCTCCCCCGTGTGTGTGTGTGTGTGTGTGTGTGTGTGTCCCTCTGTCTCTGTCTCTCTCCCTGTGTGTGTGTATGTGTGTGTGTGTGTGTGTGTGTGTGTGTGTGTGTGTGTGTGAAGGCTGGGGTGCCGCAGTACATGTGTGGAGGTCAGAGAACAACTTTGGATGTCTAGCCTTGCTTTCTATATTGTTTGAGACAGAGTTTCATGCCTACTGCATACAGCAGTTTCTGGAGACTGTCTCCGCCTCCCCCCCCTGAAGTGCTAGGCTCTGGGATTACAGATGCAAGCTTTCACTTCCTGCTTTTATAGGCATTCTGAGGATCCAAACTCATGTCTTCAGGCTTGCTGTATGATTTTCAGCTGCACCATTCCCCCTAGTCTACAACCCACACTCTTCCTAGCTACCTGATGGTCAGCTATCTCCAGCACTGGACACTTCCCACAGCAATTAGGCGATGAAATTTTGTTCATTTATCTTCTTTGTCTTGTCACCCTCTACCATCATTACTAGTCTTCATCACTGGGAAAACTTTCCAGGTCAGATCAAACATTAAGGCACCCCCCCCATAAGTAGCCTGGTCTCTATGGCAAACAGATGAAGCAGAGGGAAATATCTTTAAGAGGGTATTGCATCCATACTAGCAAGAGAGCACAACCAGCCAAGAGTTTGGCTTGCTAGCATAAGCATCTGAGTTTGGTTTCCAGAATTCACACACACACACACACACACACACACACACACATACACGCACGCACGCACGCACGCACGCACGCACGCACGCACGCACGCACGTGCTCAGCGCTCGTAACTAAAATCTGATGTGTACTTGTAAATCCAGAGCAGGAGAAGCCCAGACAATTGACACTTTGAGGCTCACTTTCCTGCCCCTCCCCATGTGAAAATGCATTCAGGAATTTTCTGCTGAGTTCTTTGTTATCCTATTTCTCAGAAGCCCAACATCTTACAGGTACAAATTTCCGTGTCAAGGTCTAAGCAGCTGGACATCTTTAGACTCAGACTCTCCCTGATTTCACTCCAAAACACCAACAAGAAACAGACTGAGGTCTGAACTTCCGTGGTCAGTCAGCGTGCTTGGTGTGTTTTGCGTTTTCTGTCCTGTGTATGAGGATCGTCTCTTTCCAGTTTACAGAGGTGAAACAGTTGCTTTTCTTCTTTGCCAAGCCGGAGCCCTCCTTTGAGAAGAGAAGCTCTGCACCGGACTTCAGAGCAGTCCCCCAGTGCTACCTAGACTGCCCATCGTTTCCTGTTCACACCTAAGCATGCCATCCCTCAACACCTCCCTGAGGTCACCAGGTCACTGAAAACATGCCCCCACAGAAAGGAGAAGAGCCCTGCAAGCTGCCTGTCCTCTCCAGGGGGTTCTGACCCAACTGTTGAAATAGTTCAGTGGCCAGGCCAGGCCATCCGAAGCTCCCTAGTCAAGGATGGTGTGGCGTGGCTTCTAAGCGTTTTTCCTCCTGCGTCCAGAGGCCTCACTTGAGTCCCTCGGTGACTCATGCACAGCGGGCCTTGTTAGTCATAGTTTGAATTTGTTTTTCTTTCTTCATAGCTCACCACGACTAACAGTTTAGTATTTTTGATGGTCTAAAAATAAAAGCAACCCTCTGCCCTCTATTTGGATCGCTTTGCCCCCTCGCTGGGTTTTAAAAGATCAAAGGGAGGAGTTCAGATTATTGTTGTGACCTTTTACCAAGGTATGCTTAAAGACAGCGGCCCTGTAAGTTTATCTGTGGCCTGTATGGATTTGACCAAATTTGTACTGAAAATATTTTTAACATATGTTTATACTGAACACATATGAGATTTTTAAAAAAGCTGTCATTTATTCCCTAGACAAAACACTGTAACAATTATTTCTGTAGCATCTGTACCAAGAGATGATTTCAAGTGTAGAGAAGGGTATGTGCAAACATTGCACCATTGGACATAAGGGACTCAAGAGTCCAAGGTTTTTGTTACTTACGGAGGGTCCTAGAACCAATATCCCACAAAGGCCAACTGGACTTAACTCCAGTGATTATATCTGGCGTTTACAGCAAGGATGTTTCTGCCAAGTCTCTCAGATTACTTAACTAATGAAGGCAGAATAAATTCTCTTCTCTGGCTAGAGCATTCTTCCTTTCTGACAGTGATGACTTTTGCAAAAAGGTAGATGGATTTGTTAATCTTCTTAACGGCAGTAATTATTTCACTGAGTATGTTGCAAACAAAATACTATTCTTACACCTTATGTTACAGAAAAATATAACAAATATTTGGGGACCACAGAGATGGCTCAGTGATTAAAGCATGTACTGCTCTTGCCTAGGACCCGAGTTCGGGTCTCAGCACCCACATCACCATGGGCAGTGTACAGCTGCCTGTAGCTCCAGCTCCAGGGAATCTGATGCTGAACGCCCTGGGCACTTGCACTCATACACACACACACACACACACACACACACACACACATACACACACACACATGTTCATATAATTAAAACTAAAATAAGTCTTAGAGGCAGAAAAATAGAAAGTTCTATCAGACAGGACAACACCTGAGATAATGTACACCTGTACAACATTTGTGTGCAAGAGTACTACTCCATTCACAGTGCCATCTTGAGATAATCTACCTACAGCCATAGAGAGTCTGGTACCATCGTGACTTCACCTGAACACAGAAAGACCTTGAAAAGTATTCTGGCTTCAATGGCCCCTCATTATCAATACTTCCAGCTAGCTGGGAGTAAATACACCACGTAGCAGTTAAGGCACGTGCCAGTAAGGCCCATGCTCCTGGTGTTGCTATAATGGATATTGTTTGTTCTGTATCACAGAAAAATGGACACTGAGCTGAGAGGCATTTCCATGTCTTGTTACCATAGCCATAAATATTGTCCTCTTTCAAGCTGGCTACTGAATTTAAGACATGCCATATGTAATTATTTTGTTTTACCAGTTAATAATATAAAATGACTCCAAAGTTCACATGCTTGAAACCAAAATCATGTCCCATTAAAAATATGGGTGGAATATGGTTGTCTACAATAATATCAAAAAATACAATCTTCAAAATATATGTGCTTCCTGCTTAGTTTACAAAACTCTTTTAACAAAACTATCCGACTTCTATAAATTCTTAGGAATCATGTGTATTGGACAAAACAAGAGAGGAAGACAGTTTTTCTAAAATTTAAATGTCTAAATAACAGTTATTATTGGGATAACTTTCAATAAATATGGTTCTATAACATGCAGAGACTTTCTTTTTAAATTAGTAAGCTCCCAGGCATGGTGGCACATCCTGTTAACCCTAGTACATGTGCTGCAGAGGCAGGCAGATATCTGTGAGCTCTGGGACAGCCGGGTCTGCATAGTGAGTTCCAGGACAGCCAGGGCTACCCAGAGAAACCCCATCTCAGCAAAATAAAATAATAAAATGAAGAAACAATTTTTTAAAATACTAAACTCTCCTCTATTCCCATCAAATTGCTATATCCAATGTTGTAATAGAAAATAAATACTACTTGCCATGGCCAAGTTTATCTGACTACAAATTTCCATGAAAAAAAAAGAGTAACATTTCTGTGGGAAGAAAAGAGATGTGTCTTCATCAAGTTGGAGAACACTGCTTGACTTTCCTCTCCTCTTCGTCTCTGACTGCCCAGTGTTTTAGTTTGTGTAGGAGATATGGAACAGTCTCATCTTTTGTAGTGTTGTAGGCTTGTTGCCTTGTTGGGAGGTTAAGGTGACAAGCCCAGGCACATCACAGGCACCCTCTATGCAGCACCCTTAGCCAATTCTCTGATGCTTCCTGACTCTGCTGGGTGATTCTAAGTCTAGCCCAGCTGACTCCAGACTACTATCCATCACGGAGAGGCGTCTGCTGAACGGGAGTCCTAACAGACAGAATGCAGAGGAGAGAAAGCTAGCCTCCGGCGTAGATCAGAGGAAAATGCCCCAGAGTTTTAGAGATTTGCACTGCACCCTCTTCAACTTCAGACTCTCCACCAAAGGAAAATATGCAAGCTTGCCAGGTGATTCCATAAGGCTGGCCTAACGTTGGTTGACCTTGGGACATGATCCCGATAGCTCACTGAACGAAACAGCCTGCTCCCAGTTTAGAAATTAGATATAATAACCCAGGGCAGAAAATAGAGCAAGATGAAACGGCACAGTGAGACAAAAAAGGGGGGTGCTCTAGGGGGTGAAGGGATGGCACAGCGCGAGGGAATCAGCCATTGGCCGGGAGAATGCCAGGCTCTCCGACAGCTGATACAACTGACGAAGAACAATTATATTGATTTAAATTGCATCTGCGCCCAAAACAATGACAATATGTTTCTTTACCCCGTAAACAATGTTAAAACTGTGCTGGTTAGGTTTGTCTTTTGTTTCAGCAATTTGGCACGAGCTGGAGCCATCTGGGAAGGCTGAGCCTCAGTTGAAGAACAGTCTCTATGGTAGGCAACTCCTCGGCGGGTGGTCCAGGGGTGTATAAGAAAGCAGACTGAGAAAGCCATGGAGAGTAAGCCAATAGGCAGCACTCCTCCATGGTCTCTGCTTCAGTTCCTGCCTCCGGGTTTCTGCTTGAGTTCCTGCCTTGACTTTCTTTGATGGACTATAAGCTGTCAGCTTAAATAAAACCTCTCTCCCTCAAGTTGCGTTTGGTCACTGTTTTTTTTTTTTTATCACAGCAACAGAAAGCAAACTAAGATAAAGCCAAAAGTATATTCATGTCTAACACGAATGGACAACAGGCAATTTGGAGACTATTTCCCTTATACTGTGTGAAGGCGTGGTTGCTGGGATTGGTTTCATAAAGAGCTGAACAGCCAATAGCTAGGCAGGAAGAGGTATAGGCGGGGTCTTTAGGGCAGAGAGAGAACTCTGGGAAGAAGAAGGCAGATTTACCAGTCAGATGTAAAACCCACGAGCCATGTGGCAACACAGAAATGAATATAAATGGGCTAATTTAGGTTAGATGAGCTAGTGGAGGAAGCCTAAGCTAAGGCTAAGCTTTCATAATTAACAATAAGTCTCATGCCCTGATTTATGAACTGGAAACCCAGAAGAAAAGCCTGACTGCAAGGCAAAGCTTAAAAAATAGTCCTGCTTCATTTCCCTTTCTAGATACTAATAAACTGTTATAGATGAACCTTCATACTGAAAAGAAATTTAACCCATACAAAAAATTACAGAGTGTCATTCTTCCTCTGAGATGCTTTCCAACCTCAGAAAGTCTGAAATTTCTTTTGGTCGTCTTTAAGAAGCGAGAAGAAAAATTCAAATGTAGCAGTCATAAAGTATAGGGAACAATCAGGTACAATAAGGAAAGGTCTAAAATCACTAGGTATCGGGATCACGTCAGTGTGAGCTGTAAGTGAAACAGTCCACTTGAAAGTATTGCATCTAAGCTATAATCACCAGGTGTATCCAAGAGCTTCAGACATGAAGTGGTCCAACATTAGAGGTAGATCCTGACAGAATTAAGCAAAAAAAAATCATTTCCAGAGGAAAGTACCACCCTCCAGCCCTCAGATTAGATGTCTTATACCTTCCATGTACAATGAGTAGTGGCGAATGAGAAACACCTAGACACACAAGGAAGCAACGCACAAAGAAGAAGAGTCATGAGTCAGTAGACAGTAGAAATAGACTTGCAATTGAGTCCCATGTCAGACAAAGTGATAATGACATGATAAATGATAATGTCATGATAAAGTCATGAGTCAGTAGACAGTAGAAATAGGCTTGTAATTGAGTCCCATATCAGACAAAGTGAAGCAGGAGCTGCCTCAGGGACCTCTGCAGGCTCTTCTGACTCACCGTGGTCATTGCACCCCTTACCTATACATTCACTCATCTATAACCACACTAACTTCTTCGATGCTCCTCAATCAGACATGGCTGTACCCTCGTCTTGGAGACTTTGTCCAGTAATCTTCCAGCAACTATCCATGTAGCCTCCCCAGTCATCATACCCAGACCTCTGTCTGCCAAGTTGTCTTTGTCTCCATTAGATTCAACCTCTCCATTGAAACTGGAATCTTTCTCCTAAATGCCCAACTTCCTGTCCCATTTCCAGCTTTATGTTTACTACTTTTGTCATAGTTGACACAATCTCCACATACAATATGCATTTTCCCTCTGATTTTATTCTCTGTACTTTTCCACCAGAATGGCGGCTCTTTGACACCGGGGATGGTCTCCCATTTTGCTTGCTCTTGTTTCCACTGGTCCTAGAATAATACTTGATACTCAGATGCTTGCAACACGTGTTTGTAAAGTGAATGGATGAACATGTGCATGTAAAGTGCTTAGAAGAGGGCCTGGCTCAAAATAATCATGTAATCACATTAGTTATTATTATTATGAGTCACTATTACAAATGAAGAAAATGTATTGAGCTGGTATAGATGGGCTGTAATTCTAGATTGTTTTCCATTAAAGTGATCTCTACCAGTAAACTAGTCTTTTCCTGGTACACTTTAAGAAAATTATTTCAGTTGTGGCAAAGACTTGCAAACCTTTCTCTTTTACACACAAAAAAAGCAAAGCAAGCATTCTATTTTTTTTCATGGTACAGGGGAAGACGCAAACTCCCAGGGTTCAATGCCAGTGGTTTATGGGACTAAAGATGGCTTTAAACACTCATACAAGGAGGGCCAGTGACATAGACAGGAATGGTAACATTACATTGCAGTTACTTTTCTATTGCTGTGATAAAAATACTATGACAATATCAATTTATAAAGGAAAACGTTTAACTTGGGGCTTATGGTTTCAGAGGGGTAGAGTCCATGATGGTGGAGCAAAGGTATGATTTTAAGAATAGTTGAAAACTTACATCTTGATCCACAAGTTGGAGAACAAGAAAGTGACAGAGGGAGTAGCCTTTTGAAACCTTAAACCCTCCCCCAGTGACACACTTCCTCAAAAATCCACACCTCCTAAGTCTTCTCAAACAGTTCCACCAAACATATGTGGCTATGTGAGCTGCTTTCATTGGAATTACCACACACTAAAGGTATATGCTATGTCCAGAAATTCATTGCCAGTGGGCCTTCCCCCAAAGGATCCCCGAGCACAAGGTACTCACAGCATTTCCGTTTTCAATCCAGCTGATGGTGGGGACAGGAATGCCTATTGCTGTGCAGCGTAGGGTTACAAAGGAACCAAAGGTGACATTGTGGGACTCGGGAGCACGCAGGATTCTTGCAAAAACTGTTAAGAAGACAACGGGCATGAATGACTGTCCTTTTGAAATAGCTAAGCAGAATAGGACTTCGAAAACTGCAGTCATGTGTTGTGTCCCTGAATGCAATCAATCTTTCAGTGTCGCTATGCTTGGTCTCCATGCTCTTTGGTCTATGATCTTCCATTTCTCACCACCTCAGGACACACTGAGCTTATTCCCAACACAGAAGCTTCCCTTTGCTGTCTCTCAGTCTAGAACACTCATGCTCATGTCTTCATGTGATGGGTTCCTTATATGTATAACTCAGGAATCATTTAAAGGACCTACTCTTAGTAACCATCCAGCACATAGCACAAATTCCCATTCAGCTTTGTCTTTCTGTTTTATGACCTCTACAAACTGCTATCTTCTATTTCCTTAGTTCCCATTTATCTATTCTTCAGCTCTTACATGAGATTGTCTTAGTCTATTTTGTTTACTCCTGGATTAAGTGCCCAGAAACATTCAGGATCAAAATGAGCACAGGGCACTATTTTAGTGAATTAAAGAAAAGATTAATATTTAAACCCTCAACTCTACCATAGTTGGGAGAACAAATCCAAATATATCACACATTTCAGAGAATGGAATGATGTACTGGGGGAAAGGAATATTTTAAATTAATGTGAGGAGGGGAGTGAGTCTTTTGCATCCCTTAACTCTACAAATCTTCACCAATTTAAAAAAAATCAGTCATTCAGAGTTAACAGTTTTACCTCAAATTAAAGAGAGAGGTGGAAACTCAGAATGAATTGGAGAGCAGCATTTGCAAGATCGACTAGATTTTTACTCTTCTTTTATAAGCTGAATTCCCATTAATTTAATTTTCTTCCCCAGAGTAATAACTGTGATGGTAATAAGCTTGGTCTCAGGTCTTGGTGTCAAATCCAATGTTCTTTTAAGCTATTATGAAATCTTTTTGTTTTCATATTATATTGTCAACATATTTTATGCTCTCTTCTGTTGTTTGCTAGGGCATAAGCCCAGAGAATGACAGGAATTCTAAAACCTAATTAGCACACACTTTGAAATTTAGTTCTTCTAGTTCACCGAAATCCATGGAGTTTGAGACAGAAAATAAACAGAACAATCATACCAAGGCTAGAACTTGTCAGGAATATTTCTGACTTTCGATAAATTCTTTATAAGGTTATGTAATTCAATGGTATAAAAATGCAATCATTCTTGACAACTGGGTCTTTGGTGCAATTTTAAATTAACTTGACTTCCTATCTTTTGATACTGAGAATTCTAAAACATGCATTATTTATCACATCATTTGTGCTCATTGCAAAATCTCTGATGGTCCATCTTAAATTTGTAAATGTTGTACCCAAAATCCAGGAGAACAGAAAAGTAACAAAAGTGTCATGTTAAACATAACAGTGGTTAACAAATAATTTTTAAAAGAAATGTATTGAATGTCTAGCATGCAGATGAACTTGCCTCTTAAAACCAAACCTGAGGGCTAGAAGTGTAGTTCAATTGGTAGAGTAATTGCGTAGGCTATACAAAGCCTTGGATTCAGTTCCCAGAACTATAAAAACTAGATGGTTGTAGTAGCCTATGTCTGTAATCCTAGCACTGAGGACTCCAAATCTTCCTGCCTCCTCAACTACATGGGAGTTTGAGACCTTCCTGGTCTACATAAAAAATAATAATAGCAACAAGAATAAACTGACTTTAGAGAATCCTGGGGTCTAATTAAACATGCAACATAAATCAGAGTTCAGGAACACAGTAAACAATGCCCTGGAGACCATGTCATCGGATCTAGAATGCAGGAAACTTAAAATGGCAAATTATTTAGTTGCCTCTACCAATAAATATCAGGAGGGGAGAAATCTGTTACCAGCTGAAGGAGGCTTAAGGGCCATATCATCCAAGTGCTCTTCTTGGATTCTTGTTTTCCCAACTAAATCTGAGTTCACAGGTTGTGTGCTTTTGATGGCCAGACCCAGGCCAGCATGCATTCTAGCAGGGGTCATTCACGTACCCGTCTTGTTTCCTGGTGATTGTAATGAGACCTAGACCACGCCACACAGCCGATCCCATTTGTAACACGTGGCTGGAATAGTGCATGCAGGGACTGGCAGTACAGCTTTCGAGTTGAGTCACTATAATTAGTACCACATGGGGCCTACTGCCTCTGAGCAGTGAAAACAAAGAGATGCTTTGGAGACTTGGAGTTGGATCATTTTAGTATCATTCATATTAGAATAGTGTTCTAATGACTTGATTATGCCCTTGGATTTGAAACGAGGGCCTTTTGGATGAAGATTAGGACAATAAAAAAATGGAGAAATAGGAAATCTAGATGATTTCTCCTGTTTTGATTTATAGAGGCAAATGTTTTAACTTGGGAACTTTGATTTCTTCTTGGAAATTTAGTGACCAGGGTTGGGTTTACTGTGTTCTGATTTACAGCTTTTCCTTTTCTTTTGGCTGTTATTGCATTGTGTGGGTTGTCATTTAGGCTCCTTGCAAAACCCTTGATGATCTATTTTGCACAACACAGCTAAGCAGAAAGTGAGATTGTGACTAAGCCAGCCAGCTATTCTTGCACAGTTCATCATGATTTTGAACTCAATTGATTCCCCATATTCCTTCATCCAGAACTTTCTAGGGGCTCTGTTTGGTAACTATAGATGGGTACTATTAGCTCAATGAATATGAAACTGCTAATAAATATTTGTTCTCTCCAAAGTGGGCTTCATCATTAATAACAGTGTGCTGAGAGAAGAAAATGATTTGAGATTAAGCAAAGCTAGTCCATCCCACACTGTTAGGTTCTCTCCAAGAGGTAAGACTCAGCCCCCATTTTCAGTATTGAAGGCATCTTCAACCCTTCCTTTAACTTTTCCCCTATTCCCAAAAGAGGTTCTATATGCCATGCATGTCTTTTGGCTTGCATTGAGATGTCTAGTTATCATACCCCCTCACTCTGTTTATGTTTCATCATAATACTTAGCATCACTTGACAACTGTGGGTTTCTTTATGTATTTGTGCCTTGATTGTCCTCTCCCTGAGATGGACACATTGCAAGGTCTGACTTTGCTTTGTTCATTACTGTAGGCTGACTTATGTATATGCTTGTCTGTGTCTATCTCCAGATGTGCTCTGTTACAGGCTAAGTAATCAATACATATTTATTAAATGATTGGGTGATCGAGCAAGGGACTTTCATGGTGAGATCAGGCAAACGATGTTATCTGTAATATGTTTGTCTTAGCCCTGCTAGATCACCATTCTCTTGGCTGTCCTACCTATAAGAAGGGAAAGAGCTTGCCATGTGGTTGAAAGTTTACCAGGTCAGGATTTGTCTACCTAAACATTAAGATGTGAAATGTGCAACACAGGGAAGATAAGAATGAAAACATAGAAGTTTCGTTAAAGTCCTTGTTAGCTGGACTAGAAGGTTTTGTTTTTCAATCCAGCTTCATCAGCAATGAAGCTCATGTGTTTTTACCCATCTGTATTTGTTTCCAGTTCTAAATATGAAAGGTGAAGATGGGCTGAGAGAAATTCCAACCATTTAACAACCATCAACAACAATACCAGCAGCTGCAATCAACAATAAAAGTCAGACTAGCTCCATCCCCTGCAGTAATGAACTTGGATATAGCTCATAGTAAATCCCATTGTGTTAGCGGGTAGCCACAAACAGAAATGCATTCTAGGTCAGCAGTCCAAAGCACAATGAGATCTGTTTCTTATCCAATAAAGTGAACATCAAAGTCCTCATTTTGTAATTTATTTTCATGCAAGAAAATGTTTTGTTATATAAACAAGTAAACTGCTGAATAGGAGTTTGAAATTATTTAATAGTTTGGGGAAATTTTATAACTATTCTGATGTTATACCACTCCTCTTGGTACAGATAATCTCATTTATCACTGTCAGCCTCCTTATTCTCTCTGTCTCATTCATGTTCCCATGGGCAAGTGTGGTATTATTCACCGGCACCATGAAAAACAGACACAGGCAAAACTCCTTGGTTTTTTAGTTAGGGAATCTATTCACACACTTTGGATTTTATGTCTCTTGGACAAATTTTCAAACCTATCTGAAGGTTGGGAATCGGACATCAAAATTGGGCTTAAGCAGCCATTGACTTCAAAGTTGTTTGTAACAAACACGCTGTACTCTCTGTCACCACCCTGGACACCACCATTTTTCAAGTTACTTTCAGATCTATAGCCAGTCCCGTGGTTGTTGTTTTAAAGGGTGGTCTGTATTCAGGGCAAAAGGCCATCATACAGCCTGAAATTATTCTTGTAATGTCACGGAAAAGTCAGGAGCCAGGAGACCTAGGCCGAGTCCAGAAATGACAGATGACTAGAGCTAGTGGGTATAGTGTAGCCCTTTTCTTGGTTGGAGGGCAGTTCAAAAAGGTTTCTGAAGTTTGGACCATTTCTATTTCTGAGTGTTATTGCAAAGGATGCAGTGACAGCCCGTGATTTTTTATTTTGTCTTACTCGTTCCCTTCTGAATTATTTCCTACCCTCCCTTGAAGAGGCTTTTTTGTTTGTTGGCTTGTTTGTTTGTTTTTTAAAGTTTCAAACAGCCAGTGGCTGGCAGGAGCAAAGGGAGAAGGCAGCCGACTGACCCAGAGCACCAGCTCGAATGCTTTTACTTGATTTGTGTTGTAAACCACCTATTACCTAGAAGGAGGAAAACATTTCAAGTGCGGGCTAGGCGTCCCTTACTGTTTAAATCTAACTGTCCTCCGCATGTCTGTGTGATAGAACACTTTGTCTGCAACTGGCCAGGCTGCTTTGGGAGGTTTGGGATTCCTCGTTTTTTGAAGATGTGTCCTATTATTTTAATTATGTGTACATGTGTGGGTATGTGTGTGGTATGTGCACCTATGAGTGCAGGTGCCTGAGGAGTCCAGAAAAGGATGTAGGATTCCCTGGAGCTGCAGCTAGAGGCAGGTGTGAGCCTCCCATTGTGAACAAGACTCCGGTCCTCTGTAAAAGCAGTACACGCACTTTAACCACTGAGCCATTTCTCTAGCTAAGGGTCTGGATTCTTCAGGATGTGTAGGTTAGCTAGCAGACCCTGACAATTGTATGAATTTTGTGGTACTAGTTCAAGCTCTCTGCTTCCTGATCCGCTGTGATGCCAGGAGTTGTCATTTCACACTCTTGAAGCTACAGATGGAGTGCAGCGGTGTCTTCCCTGCCAAGATGGCTTGCATTCCCTGGATCTCTAATGAAACCTGTCTTTATTAAAGCTACTCCTGTCATTAGTTATCTCGTCATGGCAATGATATACATATTATGCTATATATATATATAGCTAACCAAGTGATCCTAACATGAAATTTAAAAATCCAAAACCTTTGCAGTGCCAACATGACTCAACAAGTTTCAGTCTGAAGCATGCTAGATAGACTTTATGTCTTCAGATTTGGGATGCTCAGCTGCTCAAGTCTGAGCAGACACTCCAGAATGTGAAAAACTCTGAAACCTGAAACACTTCTGACCCCAAGCATATGAGGCAAAGGGTGCTGAATCTATTCTATTTGTGCCTGTAAAATGAGAAAACCTCATTTTAAATGATAGCAAACTGTGTGACCTGAGGACTTGTGGTTTTTACCCTCAGATGATCATAGTGTGGGTGAGTAAAGTATGAAGCACAGCCTTAGGTAGACAAGGTGACTTCACGATGGGAAGACTTGTACGTGAGGGCTTTCCCAGACAAATTTCATTTCCAGCTGCTTTTCTCTTCCTGAATATATTTCATGAAATATACTCTGCCATGTCAATTAAAATAAAACCACCTTTTAAAAGTCAAGTGAATTCTTTTCATTTTTAAAAACCATTTTATTTTTGTTGAACCAGAGAAAAATGCATTAAACCCCTCCTTGAATCGAAATGTTGGGAACCAAACACCTAAGTCAGCACCTTGAAGATTTAACAGTTCTCCAAAATTTTAACACATACACCTAGAAGAAGTTTCTAATTTCTGACCTGTGTGAGTTAATCCTCTTGTCTGTTCCTTTCATTTAATTTCATGCTGTGATTTTTAGAATTTGGAATGCATGATTCCAGTACATCTCTGGATTCAATATTTCCTAAGACATGTGACTGGTCAATAACCCAAGTCTATAGGGAAGCAGCCCATCTTCAGGGGCCCTATTGAAGGCTTTGGCTTCCTGTTCCCACAGGTCAGTTGTCGTTTCTTGGCAAAAGAACAACACTTAAGGTCAGGAAAATAAGCCGCTGAAATAAACTTTGCATGTAAAAAAAAAAAAAAAGAAGCAGCAAGGGGGAAATAAGGTGGGGAAATACCTTTTGTGTCCTGCTCAGGTTCACTGTCTTCTGTTAATACAAAGAGGACAAAACGGACACACACACAACAAACACAAACAAAACAATGCATCGTGAGAAGGGATATCTTAGACTGCAACCAGTGTGCACAATTCGTTAGAACCTATTCGTTTCTTATTTCAATAAGAAACAAACGCCATGTGAAGGGAAAGTGCTGACCTTTTTTTGTAAGCAGACTCTCCCATGGCATAAGATTCCAAACTGTAGCCAGGCAGTATTATTCAGAAAATAAACTACGCATACCCGAAGACGTAGCTCACTCATGCCGTTTTGTTTCAGTGTAGACAAGGACAATCCCCCTCTTTCTTTCAAGGCAACACAGTCCCTACTATTCTAGTGAATTCTGTTCCTCTGCTAGCTTGGCTTCTCGTCTTACCAGGCCCTGCTGTGAAGTCGGTGGTGTGGACTGTGGGATCTCAGCTATCATTTCTATGGCAATAGACTTGTGTTGTGGTAAACAGGGGATTAGGGGGTTTCTGCAGATCCAAGGCCTACCCCAGCGAAGATCTGCAGCTCTCATTTAACCCCCAGAGGCAGCTAAGAGAGTAGAGAAGAAAAAAGCATTCTGGGGACAGACTAGCTAAGGTTGCTGTGGAAGAAAGTGAAAAAAAATAAATAAATATGCAAAAGAAAAGGAAAAAAGAAGAAAACAAAACAAAAGCATCTAAAACTCTCGGTTGGATAGAAATGATTGAGAATTTCTACTTTTAGAATCCTTAGGCAAGAAACAAATCAGTTGTTCTAAAACATTTACTCTGACTACATTACATGCAAACACCCACACAGAGCCCTAATTTCCTTTCCCAGAGCTTATTTGTTGAAAACTATTTAGAACGTTTTAAGAATTAGCTAAAGAGAAGTCAGTTTCTCTCTCTCTCTCTCTCTCTCTCTCTCTCTCTCTCTCTCTCTCTCTCTCTCTCTCTCTGTCTCTCTCTCTCTCTTTCTCTCTCTCTCTGTGTGTGTGTGCGTGTGTGTGTGTGTGTGTGTGTGTGTGTGTGTGTGTGTGGAAAAAATAGTGATGCCATTGGTCACCACTGCTTCTGACAAGGAAGCTTTGTACCTTGCTTCACGAATGGCATGTGTCTCGACACAGGTCATATACCACACGCTGACTCCCACCCCCTTATCTCTGTGATTGGACGTCATTGATGTGACTGGGCCTGCTTTAAATTAAAAAAGATCTAAGACTCAGGGATATACTTCCACAGACAGATTCAGGTATGAAACGTCTGCATTCAGGTATCACACTGACATCTCCATCTCATACTCCATACCCAATCCCCTTAAAGTGAACCGTGTCTAAAATCTCCTCTTAGATTTGACTCTGTCTGAACTCTCCTGCATTTAGCTTTATTTTCTTGCTTTAAGAATCCAGGCTAGGGACTACTTAGAGTTTATAAACTGATGCTAATACATTAAAGGGTGTGTGGAGGTTGTCTATTACATGAACCTTGAATCTAGATGAAGAAAATGTTTTTTATGGCATTCCTAACAGCACCAGGTAAAGAATACGTGTTTGTTTCTCCTTTACTAGACAACTTGGAAACTAGAGTCCCTGTTTTGCTTTTGTTGCATTTTTATTGTCTGTCTTGTTTTGGGACAAGGTCTCACTGTGTATCCTAGGCTATACTTAGAGCTCTGTCCCCCTTCCTGAGAGCTAGGACTTTAGGTATGTTCTACCATGCCTAGGAAGAGTCCCTGCTTCTGTCTCAGTCATTACCAGAAGAGATAAACAGAGATCCATCGTTGGGCCACACTGAGTCTGACAAATTATGGAAGGATGTTCCCACCAGACACACACTGCAGCCAAACAGAACCAGCCAAAGAGATGCATCAGTGTCTGTGACTTGCTGATTTCCAAAGAGCAAGCTTAGAGGTTGGCCTGGGAATTTCACTTTTATACACACACTATCCTTTCCATGCATAGATGCAAATGTCTCCAAATGTCTCCCATGCTTTGTCATTAATACGCACACATATAAATACATGCAGACACAACTGAGGTCATCTTAGAGAAAACGATGAATGGCTAACTAATGAGAACCTACTGAAGCTTGTATGCACTCTGTGGGTCATCATACTGGCCATTTCAAGGTTAGATTGCAGCCCTAAATTCTCCTGGTGACCCAGGTGTCCATAGGGATTCCTTGCAAATTCTGAACTTGCTTTCTGACAGTTTTGAAAGTCCCATCTCATGGACTTCATTCCAATATAATTGTTAAACTCTTATCTAATTGTTTTGCACATTGTACTATGTCTTGTCTTCCAATAGATTTTTAATCTTCTGTGGAAGGCATACTATTGGAAACAGGGTTAGCAATAAACACCCATTACCGTTTTTTACTTCCTTGAAGTACAGAATTGTCTCTTAAAGAAAATAAATGGAATATTATCATTCTTTAAAAGTTCTATGTTATTTGTTTAAGGGTTGACTCGCCTTCTGCTTTCTTAGACTAGTCCAGGAGGGCAGTTAGGATGTGCAATCAGTACCCGCCTTGACTGACACGGTCTATTCACTTTACTTCAACAGTCACGTTCAGTATCACTCAACTATTTTCTTCAATATGTTCATTTATAGGGAACACAGGATCATTTTAGCAACTTATTTTGACCTATTCTTTTTTTTTTAAGTTTTTCGAGACAGGGTTTCTCTGTGGCTTTGGAAGCTGTCCTGGAACTAGCTCTTGTAGATCAGGCTGGTCTCGAACTCACAGAGCCTGCCTCTGCCTCCTGAGTGCTGGGATTAAAGGCGTGCCCCACCGACGCCCGGCCTTGGCCTATTCTTTAAAAAGAAAATGGAGAGAAATATATCCTAAGCCATTCTCCTTATACTTACTACCCATAAGACCTGTTCCCACTTCTACTTACTGGGTGAGAAAAAACAAGTTTCCAGATGTAATAGCCACAGTTCCTCATCCTCATTATTAAACTTCCTTGGATCTTTGTGTTAGTTACTCAGAATTCACTAATATACATTTCCATGGGTATATATCTCCATATTTTCATTTGTAGTTGCGCCATATGGTCAGCCAACTGACGCCACTGAAAATCACAAGTATTTGCCACTCAATTTTATTTGTTTTCGTATTAAGGTCTATCTCCCCAAATTCATCTATGTGTGTGCATCTGTGAGGTTATTCACCAGTTCATCAGATGAAGAGAACATTGGAAGGGTTATCGAAAATTATTCAGGAAGAGGGAAAGTGAAGATCCCCTGAGAAAAGATAAAAGGGATAAACTTAGTAAAATCACACAGGTCGTGTAGACCCTGTGGTGTGAATGAAGAACCAGAAAAAAAGCAGACCAAAGCATGAAGACAGCCTGAAGCCTCCTGGCCTCGAGAGCTCCGGAGAGGAGCCAGGAAGGTAACAGGAATTTGACTGGTGTAGTTGAGGTCCCAGAGAGCTGAACACACACACACACACACATTATCCTCTCGTCCTGGTTAGATGGCACTGAGACCTCCTGCTTCTGGAAAGGCATTGTCATGAGAAAAAGTATGAAAAGAAGGCAACGTTCACTTGGAGGAGAAGCCAGCTGTGGCCTGGCCAGCTCTGTTGGAGTGTATTAGGTAATTCAGAGAAGTCTGAGCAATAGTCAAGGCCTGAAATCATGAAGGGAAAGAATCCGACATGCGTGAGATGCGACTTTGAGCATGAACATTTTGGAGCTTCCGGGTCTCCTTACAATTACTACCCGTAAGACCTAGTCTTTTTTTTTTTTTTTTTTTTTTAGGTCAGTGACTAGGACCCAATCAACACAAATGACAAAGCAGCCTCTCTGCCTGGGTTATCTGGTTTCAAGTCCGCACTGTACAATAAACTTACAGTGGGTGTTCCTACTACAAAAGATGTTATTGTGTGTGTGTGTGTGTGTTCCTGTACTTGCATTGCCTGTTCATATGCCAGCTAAAGTTCCCTCTGCTTTCTAGGTGGATAAAAAGCATGCCTATAACTAGCACTTCCTCTTTTCACACAATAAAACGCACCCTCACGTCTTACTCAGTCCACGAAACAGAATTTCCATGAGGATGGAATTGCATCTCAACCCTTTTGGCAGGGCCCAATGTATAAGACGATACAAAATCATAGCACGGTGGCTATATTTGAGGGAGCGCTGAGTTCACAATTCAAAATCATCTCATTAGAGCTAACACATAGCAGCAGTAGTAGTAAGAATGTCAACACTAAACTAGTATCTCAGTCAACAAGAAAATAGGAAAAACACACTAGAAAGGCAGAAATTGTTGAGTCTCAATTCTCCCAATAGCAGTTGATGTCTGATGATAGATAGATAGATAGATAGATAGATGGATAGATAGGTAGATAGATGGATAGATAGGTAGATAGATGATAGATAGATGATAGACAGATGATAGATAGAAAGATAGATAGATAATAGATAGATAGATGGATAGCTAGATAGGTAGATAAATGATAGGTAGATAGATGATAGGTAGATAGATGATAGGTAGATAGATAGATGATAGATAGATGATAGATAGAAAGATAGATAGATGATAGATAGATAGATAGATAGATAGATAGATAGATAGATAGATAGATAGATAGCGGTGTCTTCCTGAGGTTGAGAGTGAGCAACTCATTGCTTGAAAACAAAGGCAAGGATGAGGTGCCCTTCCTTGGGAGAGGAAGGTGGAGCATTCACAGTATTGCAGAATTCGGGTACCTGTGGAACTTCTGGGTTGGACATTTCAGATTGGGGTTCTAAATTCTGCTCATAATATCTTTATTAGGAAAAACGAACTGGGAAGCTTTCTGAGGGAAACCTTCAAAATTACGGGAAAAATATTTTAAAGGAAGAATAATTAGGAGTGACAATCCATAATTTCATGGGACACTGGGAATAAAAATGCTAAGAAATCTAATGCAAATAGTAACTAGGCGATAAACCACTCTGGAAGAAGATAAAACATTACAAAAAGATAGTGCAAACCTCAACAAATAAGCCGTGGCATTAGAAGGTATGGA